ACATCAAGGACCTTTACAAAAGTCACCTCGTGGAGGTTGTCAGTTATGAAGAGGTTAGGCCATGTCCAGTGTTCTTCTGGGCCAGTGATAGGGCCAGTGTGAGAAGTCACATGTTGGTGTGCCGCCACTTACCTAACCAGCCCTGCTTCAAAAGTAACATGGGCAGAAAACAAGTGGAATGTTGTTCAGTGGAAACTGGACATGCCCAGAAGTGCATATAAAACCGGTGATCCCGGCCAGAGTGGCTCAGCTGGTTGAGCATCATCCTGTACACCTGAAGGTTGTTGGTTCAATTCCCGGTGGAGGCATGTATGGAAAGCAACTGATCATTGTATCTCTCTCAAAAGTCTCCGTCTCTCTCTTTCTCTCCCTTTCATGTCTTCGGGGAAGATTTTAAAAACACACAAAACTGATGAATTCAGAATAAAGTCTACAGTTTAGACATAGTGTTGCACTATTGTACTATTGCCATTTTCTTGGTTTTTGAAAAGACTACAGTTATTTAAGATGTTATCATTGCAGAAGATGGGTACACAGGAACTCTGCACTATTTTTGCAACTTCTTGTGAGTCAAATTATTTTAAGATAAAAATATTTAAAAAATTTTGCCGAAACCGGTTTGGCTCAGTGGATAGAGCGTCGGCCTGCGGACTCAAAGGTCCCAGGTTCGATTCCGGTCAAGGGCATGTACCTTGGTTGCAGGCACATTCCCAGTAGGAGATGTGCAGGAGGCAGCTGATCGATGTTTCTCTCTCATCGATGTTTCTAACTCTCTATCTCTCTCCCTTCCTCTCTGTAAAAAATCAATAAAATGTATTTAAAAAAAAATTTTAATTTGTAGATTTTTTTAGAAAGAGAGAAGAAGGAAGAGGGAGAGAAATATCAATTTATTGTTCCACTTATTTGTGCATTTATTGGTTGATTCTTGTGCCCTGACTGGGGATTGAGCCTGCAACCTTAGTGGGTCAGGAAGATGCTCTAACCACCAGGACAAGATAAAAGTTCTTTGAAAATGGGAATGAGGCTCAAAGGTTAGGCCATGTCCAGTGTTCTTTTGGGCCAGTGACAGAGCCAGTGTGAGAGGTCACGTGTTGGTATGCCCTAACATTTTTGCAGCAGCATGGTTGGGAATGAAGCACCCATCTTATATAAAAACTGCTGTTTGAAATTTTAACCCTGCTATTTTGGCTTCTGTAAATGCTTGCTTGCTTAAATAATAAGGAAAATAAGACTACTCCCATTTCAGAGAGGCCATTACACCTTCCCCAGATGAAGTTATCAGTGCTGGCACCAGGCCAAGCCTTTAGTTAAGGCCTCAAAGCCCCAGCACATAGGGGCTCTTTAAGAATTTGCAAAGGGGACCGGAAAATCCCATATTTGGGAGACAAAGAAGGTAAAAAGGTATAAACACAAGAAACTTCCGGTGTGACTTTGCCCAGAATTCTAGAGATATTTTTCTCTGCGCCCACATATTATAATAATAATAATAATAAATGTAATTCCATCTCTCTAAGCATTGCTTGGTCTTCTCCGGTCTTCTGTAACAGTAACAGTAAACTTGGAATCAACTTAAATATCCCTCTCATTGATAGGAGATTAGTTATCTAGATTACGGTACGTCTATGCAGTAAGATATTAGGCAGCCATGAGAAAGAATAGACCACTAAGAGAAGAAAGCAAGATGCAGAACACTGTGAGGCACACTGAGAACTGTGTTTCAACAAGCATGCGTTCTAGTGAGAGGAATGAGAGGCTGGGAGAAAGGTGAGAATAGGGGTTTTTAAAGAAAACAATTTTAGCCCTAACTGGTTTGGCTCAGTGGATAAAGCGTCGGCCTGTGGACTCAAGGGTCCCAGGTTCGATTCCGGTCAAGGGCATGTACCTTGGTTGTGGGCACATACCCAGTAGCGAGTGTGCAGGAGGCAGCTGATCAATGTTTCTCTCTCATTGATGTTTCTAACTCTCTATCCCTCTCCCTTCCTCTCTGTAAAAAAATCAATAAAATATATTTTTTATAAGTTCATTTAAAGAAAGCAATTTTAGCTTGACCAGTGTGGCTCAGTGGTTGAGCATCAACTCATGAACCAGGAGATCACAGTTCCATTCCCAGTTGGGGCACATGCCCAGGTTTCGGGCTTGATCCCCAGCTGGGGCCATGCAGGACACAGCCCATGGATGTTGCTCTCTTTCTCCCTCCCCCTTCCTTTCTGAAATCAATAAAAATATATTTAAAAAAACTTACAGCTCTAGCTGGTTTGGCTCAGTGGCCTAAGGACTGAAGGGTCCCGGGTTTTATTCTGGTCAAGGGTGTGTACCTTAGTTGCAGGTTCCCCCGGCCCTGGTCAGGGTGTGTGCAGGAGGCAACCGATCTATGTGTCTCTCTCATATCGATGTTTCTCTCTGTCTTTCCCTCTCCCTTCCACTCTCTAAAAATCAGTGGAAAATATCGTTGGGTGAGTATTAACAACAATAAAAAACTTACAAAAAGAAATGTCTAGTCTTGCCAAACCCTCAAGAAAAGTAAATTAAAACAAAATAACATTCCTCACTGATCAGATTAGCACATAATGAAATAATACCTTTTACCTAGAAATTCTATCTCTACAAATTTATCCTAAGGAAATTAGCATTGTGTGGGGAAAACTTTATACTATATAATAAAAGGGTAATATGCAAATCGACCAAACGGGGGAACATCCGGTCGCTATGACACACACTGACCACCAGGGGACAGACACTCAACGCAGGAGCTGCCCCCTGGTGGTCAGTGCACTCCCAAAGGGGGATCACCGATCAGCCACAAGCAGAGCTGATGGGGCTGGCAAGTGCAGCAGCCCGCCTCCCTGGTAGTGCTAAGGATGTCTGACTGTGGCTTAGGCCCACTCCCGGACATCCCCTGAGGGCTCCCAGACTGCAAAAGGGCACAGGCCGGGCTAAGGGACCCCCCAAGTGCATGAATGTTGTGCACCCGGCCTCTAGTCTAAAGAATAAAATTCCTAATTTAAAAAATTCAGAAACAGCTTGGATGCTGAACAAGAAACAATTGACCAAATAAATGAGGGCTTAGCCAGGTTATGTAATAAAATATAGCCATTAAATAGTGATCAGACCTATATTTAGCGATGGTCATAGCATTGCTAAAGGAACAAAGCAGATTGTATAACCATGTGCTATAACCTGTGTATAACGTGAGGAACAATGTCCCATGTTGTGGAAAAGTGCCTGTGGTTTTTGTCTCTCCTAAATGAAAATATACCTAGAAACCTACAAAATGCTGACAGTGGCTCTCTTGGGACACAGTACAATCACAGCATTTTTTTCTCTTGCTTATCTTGGCTCTCTCTTTTTTGCTTACACCTATGGTGGGGGGTGTGCATGCCTGTGTGCCATAAATAAACAAACAGGTAAACAAATAACTAAAGCAATAAGCCTTGTTCATTAAGATGAAAATTGAAACAACATTAACATCGACATGTTTGGACGAAGCTGGTTGCCACTTATCTGGAGAATGCTGCTCATTTTGTTTTTCTTCCCAGTCCTTACAGGCAGCACCCTAACCTGCGCCCAGCATGTCTCCCCTATCACAAGCCCCAGTTCTCGCTCCTGGAGCTGAGGGGAGGGCAGGTAGGGACAGCCTTCCTGCCAGCACCTTGTGAGTGGCAGAGGACCTCTTCCGAGCTATGGCACTGATTGGCAGTGTGGATGCCTGCATTGAACCAGCATGCTCCTGTCATGCGTGGCTGCACTGTCCCGGGCACCGTGTCCGTCACTGGGAAGGACACACGCAGGAATTAGTTATGGGCACTGCCTTGGTCACAGAGTCCTTACTTGTGAACCACAGGACTGCCCTGTGTGAGCAGGAAAGCAATGTATGAAAGATGGCAGGCAGCTCACAGGCTTTGTGGAAGGCCAGAGACAGACTTGGTGGCCACAAGGCCAGAGAAGTCACCCAAAAGCCCACTGCCGATGGCTCCAGCGAGACCTCATTGCTTCTGCTCATAGTCGCTGGCCCTCACAGGACTGACACTGCACCCTGGACTGCAGAGAGATAAAATGGTGTCATGGACTGAATTGTGTCCCCCTAAATCCATATGTTGAATCCTATTCCCAGTTCTTCAAAATGTGACTGTATTGGAGATAGTGCCTTTTAGAGATAATTAAGTTAAAGCGAGGCCGTTAATTTGGGCTCTAGCTCAAAATGACTGGGCTCCTCATGAGACAGGAGACGGGACACAGATGCACACAGAGGGGAGATCCTGGAAAGACCAGGGAGAAGGTGGCCATTTGCAAGTTAAGGAGAAAGTCTTCAGAAGAAACCAGCCCTGCCAACACCTGGATCTCACACTCTGGCCTCCAGGACGGTGAGGAAATCCATTTCTGTTGTTGAAGCGGCCCAGGCTGTGGTATTTTGTTAAGGTAACCGGAGCCGACTCATGCACATGGTGAGCCCTTACAAACATCAGGAGGCTCTAACTGCCGCTCCCCAAAGCCACCCTGGGCAGAATGAGGGCGAGCAGGTGCTTTGGGGAAGGCTTGCTCGCTGTAGCAGAGCAATTCCTTCCGATTCAAGAAGCTTATGGAGAGTTCAAGCGGCTTGAGCACACGTGGCTCATCAAGGGAACCAGGGCTGCAGTGCCGCTGTCTGATTCCACAGGGGGCCCATCTGTGCCTTCAGAGCAGCCCCTAAGGGTGCCCTGGGGCCGGGGCTGACCCATTGAACTATTGTATTGCCTCTGAAGTCCAGCGTCACTGCTTGGCTGTGTGAAATCAAATAAGATGTATATCATGTGCTTTGCCATGCACCCAGCGGAGGGAAAGGCGCAACGAAGGGCTTCTCTTCCCCCTGCTCTTCATGTCCAGGGCAAACAAACATTTGGGGTGCAGATGGCAAGAATAAACATGTGCTGGGGTGGAGACCTGATTTATGAATGACTCATAAATCATCTGAAACCAGTTTCCTGTTGACAGTCAGCCCTCGGTAAACACTAAGCGTGTCCTTGGCACGTTACCTTCCCTCAGGGTGCCAGGCCGGGGGAGTCCTGTTCTATATAAGTCGCTGTGCCGCTTCCTGATGTACAGGCCTATCGGACCCAAGCTCATCACAATGGTAGGTAACTGGTTGCTTTGTACCTCGTACCTCAAGGCCAGAACAAGGAAAAAGGACATATAGTATAGTCCAGTGGTTCTCAACCTTGGCTGCACATTAGAATCACCTGGGAATCTTTTTAAAATCCTGATTTCTGGGCCTCATCCTCCGGAAATTCTGTTTCTTTGTTACTAATGTTGTGGCCTCACCCCATAACAAAGAAACAGAATTTCCAGAGGATGAGGCCCAGAAATCAGGATTCTAAAAAGATTCCCAGGTGATTCTAATGTGCAGCCAAGGTTGAGAACCACTGGAATAGTCCTTGTTTGAATGAGCTGTGAAGGGTGTTTCTACTGGATACAACTTAATCGTAAATGTGAGCTAGTGATGAACCTTCTATAGAATATTTGTAACTGAATGGATAGAGGGTAATGAGAGGCGGGGAGCTAGAGAAAATGTTAATGACTGTAGCACTATTACTGTTCTCCCAGGTCAAAGCTGTTGTTTCTTCTAGTAAGTGTGGGATTCAATTAGGTTTTATGTGTGTCTCTGATTCTTGGGCCCTAAGTGAGTGATTTGTGAGTTAGATATAATGTCGGGGCTACAGCACTGCATCATCGCAGGTGAGAACGGAGCCTGGGAGGGAAGAGCTGTCTGTGCGCGGCTGAGGCGGGAAGCTACGTGTCCCTCTCCAGGCCAGCGGCTCCCTCGCAAACGGGCTGCACAATGAGCAGCTGTGCCTGACTCCCACACCGGACACTCTGAGTTGATTGGTGGGCAGTGAGTCCTTGGTAATTGAGGTTTTTTAAAGCTGCCCAGGTGACTTCAATATTCAGCAGAATATGAGAACCATCAGCCTGACCTAGGCCCTTTTCAATACACAGTGGGGCCTTGACTTACAAGTGTCCCGACTAACGAGTTTTTTGAGATACCAGCTGTCTCTCTGCGGATTTTTTGTATTGAGTTGATAGAGTAATTTGAGTTAACGAGCTCCTTAACGAGCTCGGTCTCGGAACGAATTAAACTCGTAAGTCAAGGCCCCACTGTATCATGCTGTATTAAGAAAAAATTTGCATCAAAACCTATAAAAACTCATCTAGTCATCCTTTCTGCCTTCAATTCCAAATTGATCTTTTAAAAGTACCCTTTGCTAGAGCCAGTGAAAGGGACTGAACCAGGCTGCTCTTGGGGTGCAAAGGAGAAGAGGAAGGAAGTGGCCAAAGGCAAAGCAGAAGAGGAGACTGCAGGGTCCTCCAGGATGGGCCCTGGGCCTCAGTTCAGAGGCTGTCTCAGAAACACGGGGCTGGAAAAAGCAGGAAACCGTGGGGTGGGTCCTCCTGCTTCATCAGACCCCTCCTCCACCCTCAGAGTGAACTTCCTAAGCTGCAGAACTGACAACGTCCCTGCCCTGCTTACCCTTAAAGGTGCCTGACTCCTTTTTAAAAAAACATATTTTTATTGATTTCAGAGAGGAAGGGAGAGGGAGAGAGAGAGAGAAACAGCAATGGTGAATCACTGATGGACTGCCTCCTGCATGCCCCTTACTGGGGATTGAGCCAACAACCTGGGCATGCACCCTTGACCATAATCGAACCCAGAACCCTTCAGACCACAGGCCGACGCTCTATCCACAGAGCCAAACCGGTTAGGGCAAGATGCCTGACTCTTGATCATGCTGGGAAGACACAAGGAACAGCAACTTACCTAAAGGGACACTATTTCTAGGGGCACTGCTAGCCCGTTTCACTCCAAGTCTGGCATGAAGCACCTGTTACGTGCAGGCATCTGGAAAGGCTAATGCCGGTCTCCCGGCTGCACTGTCTCCTGTGCCTGCCCCTAGCAGGTGCTCATCTTTACTGAATGCAGGAGAGGAAGCAAAAGGGCGAAGGGAGGTGAACGAATAGAACATAGGAACAGGAAAGGACCGAGAGCCTCTCTGCTCAAGTAGTCTCAGCCCAGTAGCATGGGCATCACCTGGGGGGCGGGAGGGGAGGGTGTGCTAGAAATGAGGACTCTTTGATTCCACCAAAGCAGAATCCGCATTTTATTTTACAAAATTCCCCAGGGATTCATATCCACATTAAAGAAGCACTAGTTTTGATTGTTTCTTGTGTTTCTCACATGGGGGACTTGGTAAAGATGCAAAGGCCTTGGCCATGTCCTTCTCCAATGAGCTTGATTGAGACTGTGTGCTCATGATTAAAGCCTGGGTTACTTTGATGCCACCCACATGGGAGAACCTCTGTTTTTACAGGGGGAAACTGAGGCAGAGAGAGAGGGAGAGAAGGAGAGAGAGAGAGAGAGGATATGGAGGCTATATGTGAGATACTATCAACTGGTTAATTTCAAATCTGAATACTCTGCTCTCTCTCTTTTTTTAAAAAAAATATATTTTATTGATTTTTTACAGAGAGGAAAGGGGAGAGATAGAGAGCTAGAAACATCGACCAGCTGCCTCCTGCACACTCCCCACTGGGGATGTGCCCGCAACCAAGGTACATGCCCTTGACCGGAATCGAACCTGGGACCCTTCAGTCCGCAGGCTGACGCTCTGTCCACTGAGCCAAACCGGTTTCAGCTACTCTGCTCTCTCTTGTCACCATGTTTGGACTCCATCTCTCAGTCATTCGATTGGGTTCCTCCGCTCAGAGCAGCAGAAGATCCGGGAATTCTGCAGCCGTCGCTCACCCTGGGCTGCAGTCTTGGCTTGTGCCCACTGGTGCCTCTGTTCTGTGACTAGATAGATTCTATCTGATAGAACAAGACCTCCAACATTCCTGTGATCACCAGCACCTCTCAGGAGCCCCCTTTCTGGATGAAGGGAGTGGAAATTCTGTCAATAAGATGGGCTTTTTCATTTGTTTGTTTGTTTTGAGAAAAAATTCAGGTTTCCACAATGATCTGAAGCTGAAGCTTCTGTAAAAGAATGAAACAGAGAGAGCAGGTGCAACCTCTAGTTCTGATGAGAGCTAACTATATTGAGAGTTTATTATAGGAATTGATTTATTTCTCTTGGTTATAAAACTAATGTCTTTCATTATAAGCAATTTAGAAAAAAAGAGGAAAAGTCCAAAGAAAAATCCCACAGCTCAAAAATCACTTGTTAAAATTTGGTACAAAAACTGTAATCTCTTTTTGAGCATCTCCTTCTATGTGGGTCTTTTCCACATCATAGGAATACCTGCCTTCTTTAACGTAGTCATAGTAGTGATCATTTATGTCATTTCATATTCTCTTACCTCCTAACTTGGCCAGTTCTGTTTTTGGAGTCACCATGCTCTGAAACAGCCCTGTTTTGGGGGAATTTGGGTTGATTCATTTCCCTGTTGCATTGAGCATCCAAGAGGCGAAGTCTAAGTCCTTCTCTGTGTCATTCCTAGGACCAGGTCTTAGAAGTGAAAAGGTGAAGTCAAATGTTGTAACTGTTTTTTTCAATGTTTTTATTGACTTGAGAGAGAGATAGAAACATCATCGAAGAGAAATATCTATTGGTTCTACTGGGGATCAACCCAGACATGTGCCCTGACCGGGAATCAAACCAGCAACCTCCTGGTACATGGACCAGTACTCAACCAACTGAGAACACCGGCCAGGGCTGCTGTAAACAGTTTTAAGAATATGGATGCGTACTATTAAGTTGTGCTCCATAAAGATTATTCAAACATAAACTAGCCTTGTGAATTTCACTTCTCAGATATGCCTTTATTTCACTCTGGATATTATAAATGAAATAATTATTTTTTGTCATCCCATATGGTTCTATTTTACAAATTTGCATTTCTGGTCTCAGCAATAACTTGAACTTTTCCATGTCTTTGTTCATCATCTCTGTTTGTATATGTGTGTTATTGTCTTATCTTTTGTTGTTGTTGTTAATCCTCACACCAGGATATTTTTTTTTTCCATTGAGAAAGAGTGGAGGGAGGACAGGGGTTGGGGGTGGGGGGGGAGATACATTGATGTGAGAAAGACACATTGATTGTTGCCTCCTGCCTGCGCCCTGACCGGGGCAGGGGGTAAACCCACAACCCAGGTACCCGCCCTTGACCAGGAATCAAACCAAGACCCTTTAGTGTGTGGGCTGATGTTGTAACCTCTGAGCAAATGACCAGGGCTATGTGTGGTATTTTCTTTGTCATTTTTCTACTAGGATCTTTTTCTTTTTCTTGTTGATATACAGAAATTCTTCATATGATGATGTTGTTCTCCAAATTTGGTAATTATTTTTAACTTTTATTTATGGATTTATAACTTTTACATTTTCAAAGCTATTTATTTTTTAATACTTAGAATAAGATGATTATTTACTTATTTTTTCTGTGATTCGTTTATGATTTAAAATTTTTTAATTAAAGTACAGTTGACATACAATATTATATTCGTTTCAGGTGTATCTGCCATCGTACAAAGTTAATTTATGATCTTATAAAAGTTTAACCATCAAATTCTTTTAGAATTTATTTGTGGGAACTAAAGTAGAAAATTAACTTTGTTTCCTTTCAAAATATCCCATTTGTTCTAATATCATTTTTTGAATAATTCTCTACAGATTTTAAAAACTAAGTTTATCTTATAATAAACTTTTATATGGATTTATAAATATACTTTCTGGGGTTTCTATGCTGTTCCCTGTACTTGTCTTTCTATTCTTATATTAATAACATCTACTTTAGGTAGCATCAGTTCATAATGAATTTTAGATATCTTACAGAACAAGTACCCTCACCCCCAATCTTCTTTTCTTAAAAAAATATATTTTTATTGATTTCAGAGAGGAAGGGAGAGGGAGAGATAGAAACATCAACAATGAGAGGAATCATTGATCAGCTGCCTCTTGCACACCCGACACTGGGGATCGAGCCCACAACCTGGGCATGTACCTTCACCAGGGAATCGAACGTTGACCTCCTGGTTTATGGGTCGGCGCTCAACCACTGAGCACACCAGCCGGGACCCATCCTCTTTTTAAAAAGGTTCCTGGAAATTCCCACGTTAAAGTTTGTTTATTTGGCTTGCTCGTCTCAAAATGATGACAAAAGCAACTTGATACTTTTCTTTGTCCTGCAGATTCTGTATCAGCTACTAGATGAACTGATGTGTTCATGCAGCCATCAACAATGCAGTTATCATTTGGAAAGTGAAGTTCTTAGCCTCATGGTCTAAGAATGCCAACTAAGTAGTTCCATCAAGTCTCCTACTGTGTTTTCTTCATCTTTTGTCAATGTTTTATCTTCCTAAAACTCTTCTCCACACACTCATTTCCGTCCTTTGAATTATACACACTCTGCAAAGCAGCTAAAAATCAATCCGAAAGGGTCCCCTGAACTTCCTAAAATAACACACGATGCTCAGGCTGGGTGGCTCAGTTGGTTGGAGTGTCATCCCGTACATCCAAAGGTCACAGGCTCATTCCTGGTCAGGGCACATCCCTCGCTTGTGGGTTCTATCTCTGGTGTCAGGGGGTGTAGAGGAGGCAACCAATAGATGTTTTTTTCTCAGATTGATGTTTCTCTCTCTCTCTCTCTCTCTCCCTCTCATCACTATATCTACCTCTCTCCCTTTTGCTCTCTCACATCAATAAAAACATATGCTCAGGTGAGGTTTGGTTTTTTTTTTATAAAAAAAAAACAGCACACTACCATTATTTTATTGGTCTATGACTGACTCACATTTAGCTTTTTCCCCAGTTTATTTTTAATAACTTGTGTAGATGTTGTTCCTTTGAAGTGCCACCTTTAACCCACCCGTGGAGCCCAGCAGGGATCCTCATGCAGGACGCTCAGTCAATGATCGCTCTCTGAATCAGTCTGTTTTTCTTCCTGACACTGCTTCACATTGCAGAATGCTCTCCTGGGAAGCCTTGTGGTCTTGGCCAGCTGTGTGATGTTATGCAACGCCCAGTGCTATTTCATACCTATTGAAGGCTCTCCAGACAACTCGCTTAAGGGTAAGTCCCAGCTTTTCCAGTGTATTATTTTACTGCAGCTTGGCAGGTATAACCTGTTGGCAGAGGAGGCCTTTACATCTACATGAGGGGGAGGGTTAGGGCGGATATCAAATAGAGTCAAATGAGAGACTTCAATTTGTCACTGTACAAGACAGTGTTTCTCAACCCAAGGTGTAGGAGAATTGCCTGGAAAGCTTTTGAAACCTACCAACGCTCAGGAGCCATCCAATATGAGGCAAATGAGAATCTCTGGGGTAGGAGCTGCACAGCTAATCGCTTTTGGATTCACCCCTATACGCAGGCAAAGAACCATCAATATTCCAAAGCAGTACTTTTCAAACTTCAGTGTGCACGTAAACTCTCTGAGAATCTTGCTAAATAAAAATTCCGATTCTGTGGGCCTGCATGTCCAACACAGCCTTGGTAGTGCTGATGCTACTAGTTCCTCCAGCTCACCTGGACCACCAAGGTTTAAAGCAGTGGTTCTGACCCCTGGCTGAATATTTGAATCACTTGGGGAGCTTTGGGAAAATATGGCAGCCTGGGCCTCATGGCCAGAGAGACTCATTGTTCTGAGGTGAGACCAAGGCATAAATTTTTTAAAAATGCCCAAGATGTTTTACATGTGCATGTAGGGTTCAGAAGCAAAGCAAAGAGAAGTAGTAAAATGAGACATTTATCCAGAGATAATCCAGCAGAAAAAAAACACACCAAAGAACTTGGCTCCAAGCGCCCCTAGGATCGTAATAGCTATCTGATAAAAGAGAAAGGCCTTATTTTATTCTTGTAATATTTGTTCTGAAATAAGATCTGGAAGGACTTAAGCTTGCTGTAAGAAAACATGATCGGTGACATGAACTGGACAGTACTGGAATTTAGCTGTGGGTGACCACAGAAGCACTTTTCTCAGACACCCTTAAATTGACGAGATTTTCCCTCTCTGGGAGGGGCACAGATGGCAGGGTTGGCCACAGTGTCCTACAAGCCTTGTTCCAGCTGCATGCCTTGAGGACACCACTGATGTTGCCACACTTGTTATTTTAGAATGCAAGGATCTCGGTGGAGTCACCTACGCGATGAACTCAAAGTGGAAGAATGAGAGATGTGAGGAGTGTTCTTGTAACCCAACTGGAATCGACTGCTGCAACACGTAAGTCTCAGCCAGCAGGGCCAACAGGGGGTGCAGCTGTTACTGGGCTGCTCCTGAGTTGCAGCTACTCCCTCTTTCAAAATCCCCTTCTGAAGTGGTTTCGTTTTCAGCACTATTTCCTTCTTCTTTTTTTTAAAATATATTTTTATTGCTTTCCGAGAGGAAGAGAGAGGGAGAAAGAGATGGAAACATCAATGATAGAGAATCATTGATTGGCTGCCTCCTGCACACCCCACACTGGGGATCGAACCTACAACCCAGGCATATGCTCTGACCAGGAATCAAAATGTGAACTCCTGGTTCATAGGTCGACATTCAACCACTGAGCCATGCCCCAGCTGGGCATGGATTAATTCTTAATCTCTCTGAGCCTCAGTTTCCTCGCAATAAAATAGGGATAGTCAGGTGTCCATGAGAATTTAATGAGATTCTGCATATATTAAATCAACACATATTTATGCCTTCTCTATGCCAGTCTGTGTCCCCTGAGCCTGGGACAGTAATGAACACCTAGTAGGAACGCAAAGTGTCCCTTCTCTCTTTCCTTCCATGTGCCTATCCCGTTTAGCACACTGCTCCGCAGGGAGGAAATGTGTACAGTTCTCTCTACTATTCAAAGACAACTCCTTTTCCCTGCGATTGCCTCACAGCCCACCGAGTTGTTTTCATCATTTCTTTTTCTATAGCAAAAGACAGCTTTTGATTAAATTTTCTCTGGGATACTTTTTTCACCCATTGCTTCTCCAGGGGACACAGTCCAGATCTCAAGCTGCTCAGTGGCCTCCCCACTGCCAAGGCCCCACCCAAGGTGCCCTGGAGAATCTCTTTCCAGTCCTCACTCGCTTACAGATTACCCTTTGGGAGGAGGACTGCACTATCCTCTTCTGTAAAATAAGTCAAACGTCACCTTTTGGAAAAAAGCATTCTCACAAAGGGCCCGGTGATGGCTGCCTCTGTGTACACTTGGGCAGGGGCCATTTACAGCTCGGATTCATGTGTTCCAAGAGAGTGATGAATCCTAGCATTGCTTGCACCCTTGAATGTGTGGGTGGGCTTTCCTGGGGAGATGGTCCCGTTTTCATTAGCTGCTCCTGGGCTCCATGATCCTGGCCTGGAGCACCTCTGTTCCTGTTGGCTTAGCAGCTCCTATGCTAATTAGAATGGACAATCTTTCCCTTCCCACATTCAAGCCGCAGAACTGCTGGCCACTTCCTGAGCCAGGACAAGAAGTCCCTCTCAGAGCTTACTGCGTCCTGTGATGCAGGATGGAACTTGGGAACGATGTCAGGGGTGGTCTGTGTGATCATAGACCAGGTTCTATGTGTTCAAATCCAGGCTCCCAAAGTCAGCACTTTGGGGTTGCAAACTAAAAGGTGATCTTACGTTGCTGAGGGCACCCTCGACAGCTGGAGTGTGGGCTGCCCCTGGCAGAGAGCTGGCCTGAGGAGGCTGGGCATCCTATCCTTGCTTTTTTTAAAAAAAATTAAACCTTTATTATTGAAAATGTTACATATGTCTCCCTTTCCCTCCCATTGACCCCTTTTAGCCCACCCCGCCCCTCACTCCAGGCCTTCACAAACCTATCTTAAAAAAAAACTTTATTGTTGAAAGTATTACATATGTCCCTTTTTCCCCCCCATTGGCCCCCTACAGCCACGCCCCCCCACCCCGCCCTAGGGTCTGTGTCCATGGGTTATGCATATATGCACACAAGGCCTTTGGTTGATTACTTCTCACCCACCGACTTTCCCCCACCTTCCCTCTGAGGCTCTGCACTCTGCTCCAGGCTTCCATGTCTCTGATCCACTCCCTTCATCAGTTTAGTTTGTTAATTAGATTCTACACATGAGTGAGATCATGTGATCCTTGTCTTTCTCTGACTGGCTTATTTCACTTAGCATAATACTCTCCAGGTCACTATATGCTGTCTCAAACATCCTTCATTTTTACTGCTGCATAGTATTTTGTGGTGTAAATGTACCACAGCTTTTTTTTATCTATTCATCTACTGATGTGAACTTGGGTTTAGGTATTATAAATTGTGCTGCTATGAATATAGGGGTGCATACTTTTTAAAAAATTGGTGTTTCAGGTTTCTAGGATATATTCCTAGAAGTGGGATCACTAGGTCAAATGGCAGATCCATATTTAATTTTTTGAGGAAACTCCATACTGTTTTCCATAATGACTGCACCAGTCTGCATTCCCACCAGCAATGTACTAGGTTTCCCTTTTCTCCACATCCTCACCAGCACTTGTCATTGGTTGATTTGTTGATGGTAGCCATTCTGACATATGTGAGATGATAACTCATTGTCATTTTAATTTGCATCTCTCTGATAATCAATGACTTTCAGCATTTCTTCATATATCTCTTAGCCATCTGTATGTTCTCTTTGGAGATGTGTCTATTTAGGTCTTTTGCCCATTTTTTTAAACAATGTAGCTTTTAAAAAAATATATATTTTATTGATATTTTACAGAGAGGAAGGGAGAGGGATAGAGAGTTAGAAACATTGATCAGCAGCCTCCTGCACACCCCCTACTGGGGATGTGCCCACAACCAAGGCACATGTCCTTGACCAGAATCAAACCTGGGACCCTTCAGTCCGCAGGCTAATGCTCTATCCACCGAGCCAAAAGGGTTAGGGTATATTTTTTTAATTGTTTTATTTGTCTTCCTTTTGTTAAGTTGTATGAGTTCCTTTATATATTTTGGATACTAGCCCTTTATCAGATGTATTATTGCTAAATATGTTCTCCCATACAGTGGGCTCTCGTTTTACTCTTTTGCTGTGCAGAAGCCTTTTATTTTGATGTCGTCCCATTTGTTTATTTTCACCTGGGTTTCCTTTGCCCTAGGTCAGGAGATGTATCGGTAAACATATTGCTATGAGAGATGCCTGAGATTTTGCTGCCTATGGTTTCTTCTAGGATTTTTATGGTTTCATGACTTACATTTAAGTCTTTTATACATTTTGAGTTTATTCTTGTGTATAGTGTAAGTTGGTGGTGTAGTTTCATTTTTTTTTTTTGCACGTATCTGTCCAATTTTCCCAACACCATTTATTGAAGAGATTGTCTTAACTCCATTGCATGTTCTTGAGTTCTGAGCATAATGGCTAGGATCGATATCTTATCCTTTCTAATTGGCTTTGCTCTTGTCTCAATGGCAGTGTTGCTATACCTGTGGGTTTTAGCAAAATGAAATGCAAGAAATTATTCAACCAGAAGACCTGCACCTATACGGTGGTGGAGAAAAAGAATCCAAAAAAGACTTGTCTTGTCCAACAATGGGTGATGTAATGTGCTTCTAGTGGGCCCGTGGCTCCCAGCCAGAGGGGTTCCAGGTCCTCCAAGGCCAGGCCTCATTCTCCTGTGGCCTCTAACAATCTATGATTGTAACCCTACCTGTTCGTAAAAAAAATAAATAATTAACAATTGAGCAAACATTTGAATATGTGTGTACTTGCAATTTATAAATTATGTGTGCATTGATTTTATACACATTATAAAGCGTTCAAACATTTAAGAGGAAAAAAAATATGAATAAAGTTATATTTTTCCTATACTCCAATAAATCATTATACATCCCCACTTAAGTACTGCTGCTTCTGTTGCTTCTGATATAGTATCGGCACTCTGCTGCCCTGGTATCCTGCTATCTTGCGAACAGTTCAAAAAATAAATGTGTCTTCAAAATGAAATCAGATTCCTTATTTTCTTTGAGTTTTTCATATTTATTCTTCCTTCCTCTTCTTTTTCTTAAATAGATATATATATTAAATATATTCTTATTGATTTTAGAGAGAAAGGGAGAGGGAGAGAGAGAGAGAGAAACATCAATGATGACAGAGAATCATTGGTAGGCTGCCTCCTACATGCCCTCCACTGGGGATTGAGCCTGCAACCTGGGCATGTGCCCTGACCGGAATCAAACAGTGACCTCCTGGTTCTTAGGTTGAAGCTAAACCGCAATGCCACACTGGCCGGACTCCTTCCTCTTCTATAGAGAATGTCCTCCATGCTGTGTCCCTCATATACCTCTGTTTGCTTGAGGTTGGAGCAGGTAAGATAGAACAGGACAGCCTGGAAGGAGTAGCTCTGAGACCACATGCAGCCTGACGGAGTCTTGAAAGGCCAGGGGTCCTGGCTTGAGAGAATGGCTTGAGTGCAGGGCTCCAGTCACTCACCTCTACCTGCATACAGATTCCTGCAAAACTTAAGCACTTAAACAGTGACAATGTTGCCCGGGTCAGTGTGGCTCAGTCGGTTGAGCATCATGTCCCATGCACCGAGAAGTCACCAGTTGGATTCTGGTCTGGGCATGTGCCAGGGTTGCAGGCTCCATCCCAATGTGTAGGTGTTAGGTCTGATCAAATAATTGAATCAACACTCCCTCCCCTGGGAACTAACCTTTAGATCACTTCACAACCAACACTCCCTTTGCACATTGTTGATGTAATGTGCTTCCACTTGCTAAGACCACATTCCACTTGCTAAGACCACATTCCACTTGCTAAGATCATTCATCTTTTGCCTCAGGACCCGACCAGAGAATTCTCTGCCCAGAAAAAGCCTGCCTAGAGTCCTTTAAAATCTCTGACTCCTCGTCCCTGGGTGCTGGTGCCATTTTGGGGCTCAGCCCATCTGGTTTTCCAGATGACCTAATCATTTCATAATTCTTTACTTTTTTTGGCCTCTTCCATTTCTCCTTCAGCGACCCTATAGGAAGCAGACTATCAATGTTTCTCTCTCTCTCTCTCCCCGCTTCCTCTCTCTCTTAAATCAATAAAAACATTAAAAAAAAACACACCCCACTAAACATCTTAATTTACAAAGGTAAAATTAAAAAAACAAACACAGCCCAGCCGGCGTGGCTCAGTGGTTCAGCATCGACCTATGAACCAGGAGGTTCAATTCCCGGTTAGGGCACATGCCCAGGTTGCAGGCTTGATCCCCAGTCTGGGGTGTATATGAAGCCGCCGATCAATGATTCTCTCATCATTGATGTTTCTATTTCTCTCTCCCTCTTCCTTCCTCTCTGAAATCAATGAAAATATGTATATTAAAAAAATACAGTGACAATATTGATCATCTCTTGCTTTTGTGTTAGAGAACATTTGTTCACTCAACAGGTCTTTCTTAAGCGCCAGGGCCAGGCAGTGCTATGGGTCAAGGATACAGCAATGAACCAGAGAGACCAGGTCCCTGCTTTCCTGGGTCTTGGAGTTCTTTGTGCGGGTATGTGACAGAGCATAAGCAGGCAGACAGTCCTCTGTTGAAGAATCTGTGGACAATTGGTAAAGAGCTTTATTTCTTCCCTGAACCCTAATCCTATCTCTTCAAACATGTTATTGGACTAGTTGAGCAATCCTGGGCTGACCCCTTAGTTTTTTGGGGACCACTGTAAGACAATAATTTTTAAAAAGTGCTTTGGTTACTTTTAGTTAATCTGCATCTGAATCGGAAAGGAAATGGGGAAGGGGTGAGTGAAGGGTCGGGTGCTGTCTTGGCTGCCTGGGCTGTGGCAGTGCGTAGGGTGAGTGCTTCCTCACGGGCTCTCGGACAGTCTCTACTGCTCCTTCTCCTCTGCAGCTCCCTTCCACCCAAAGACGATGACTGTGCCTTCCGAGCGTCTGCATATGAATCTGTTTCCTGTTGCTTTTGGCTGAGATTGCCTTGCTTCTTGTAGGACTCACTCTTGGGTGGGATCCACAAAACCCGATCATGGCAACTTTTGTAAATTCTACTTAGATAGCCCTTCATCTTTCTAGGAAAGGTGGGGGCACAGTTAGCACCTAGAATTGGGGGCATCTGTCAAAACAGGGACAGAAGGATTCCCATTTTAACATCTGGTCATAAATACATAAACAAACAAAACACTCCAATGTGGATAATGCCACACGAGGCAGATTGTGAGGGGATGTACAGTGGTGGGCTGTGGAGGGTAGAAAGCTGCCGTGAGACATGGTGCAAACAAATATATGCTTTGTAGTCAGATGATGTGGCTTGGAATGTGGGCTCTAACATTTATGTAATGAATTAAAAAATTGTGGCAAAATATACATAACATAAAACTTACCATTTTCACCACTGGTAAGTGCACAGGTGAGCGGTGTTGACTCCATTCACATTGCTGTGCAATCACTGCCGTCCCAGACTGCAGAACTTCCCATCATCCCGAATGGAACTCTGTACCCATTAAACAATAATTCGCCTTTCACAAGCCTGTGGCGAGGTATTTTCTGTGTCTATAAATTTGGCTACTCTAGTACCTCGTATAAGTGGAATCATACAGCATTTGTCCTTTTGTGTCTTCTGACATTTATTGTACCTGTACGCTAAGGCTAAGTAACAGCCGCCTTTGAGGACATCTGATATGACCAGATCATTCAGGATATTACTCGGTACAAAGCGTGCCTTCAACAAACGTTTGTTCCATTTGTTCTAATTTATTCAGGGAGGGCGAGAGGACTGTGACCCGGAGCTCAGGCAAGACTGTGCGCCTGCGCTCTGCGCCCTCCGGAGGGCAGACGGGGGCTGGGGGCTGACCCGAGTAGAGCTCTCGCGAGACTGTCATATGTGCGGCGAGAGACGGAGGGGAAGGTTGTGCTATCGCGAGAACTCTGCCTTTCGGCCCTCGGCGTGTGTCAGGCGGTGTCTCTGCACCGAAGGTCCCCTCGGATCGCCCGGAGTCGCGTTTGTAGTCGGTAAGAACCGAGTGGCGGGGAGGCCGGGCGCTTCTCCTTCCGAGGGGCTGGCCTCCTCCTCAACACGCCGGCCCGGGCCTGCCTGCTGCTCCCCGGCCAGCGACACGCCGGCCCGGCG